AAATGCAAAAAAAAAAAAAAAAAAAAGAAGTGTTCAAACAAGTGAATACAAACACAGTAAATTAAATCTGTTGAAAAAAAAATTGAAATGGCAAAGAAGCATATCATAAACACGTGAAAAAACATGTCTAAGCAACTGTGCCAATCAAGAAAGGGAGAATTCAGTGAGAATAGCAGAGAAAATAATCACATGATATTTACATGTTCAGAAATGGCGTGAAATTGATGGAGTATATAGATTGGTGCTTTGATCTTGAAAATTTATTTTAGTAATACTTAGATGGCTGATGAACATGGGGCTAGCTTTGTGTGAGGGAAAGTAAGACTGTATCAGAAACTGGTAAGATTTTGTTAAAAGTTAAGTAACTTGTACACAAAGAATGATATTATTTTAATTAAGTATTTTTGCTAAGAATATGTTATTTATTGATTATAGTTATTTGCACTCAAACACTTAAAGTGTGCAAAGTGATTTTTGATTTTAATTTTTCTTCATCTTACAGTTTGAGTTTTATTTGTATAACCTCCTAAATGAATATTAAGTTTTTTTAAGGTAAATGTTTCTATTTTATTTTTCATTTTCTCTACCATATCATTAACTTTACATATTATCATCAACATACAGTGCAATGAAATGTTTAAAATTAAGAAATGAAAAAAATAAACTTTCAATTTTTTGTAGAATATCTTAAAATATTTTCTTTTGGATAGAATCATAATTTCAGGTATTTTCCTTTTCACATATAGTTAATTTTTAATATTTAATTTTCCTTTCCTGTCCTTTACCTTTTATTACTAATCTTGGCACAAGTCAGTGGTTCCTTTGGGGTGTAACTACAGCATCTTCAACAGAGATGCACAAGCTTTCGGCCAAAATATCTTACCCTTGTGCAAGATCTTAAGCCTTGAGAATTGACACAGGGTATGATGTATATTTTAAAAATGTTTAAACCTTTCAGTTATGCATTTTAAAACATAAATAATACATAATTAAATAAGATATAAAAGTAAGATCTAAATGCAATTTATATGTCTCTCTAACTTTTAACATATTTAGGTAAGAAAAAACTAAGTGCTATTGTGGATAAAGCAACCAACAATACTACAGGTAGTTATAGGGCCAACCTTACAGCAAGGCTACTTAGGCAACTGCTTCAGGCCCTGCTCCTCAGTAGCTGAGTGGAGTGTATAATTCTAGTATCCAAAATCAAAAACCTAGACCTAAGTACTAGCCTCAGGTCCCATACCCTCCTAAGCCCAGTCCTGGGTAGTTATATCTATCAGATGACATCAACTATGTGCCAATTTCAAAATAACCATTGTTAGATTACAGTGTAAAATAAGCTCTTTCTAATGACTATATACATGTATATGTAGCAACCACGTGTATGTTATAAAGTTCAAGCAAAAATATAGAAGGTGGGCGTGACATTCATCAGGAGTTGACAAAATTTATTACTTGTTGCTACTGCATTTAGCAAGAGAGCTTTGAAACTTGTGTGTCAATAGGGGAAGTAAATGTACTTATTGTCTAGACATACATTTACATGACTAGCATTATTTTAAACAAGATGGAGAGTGCAAAAGTTGATATTTTTATAGCTCCTGGGTCATGTGACAACAAAACCAACAGTTTTAAGTATTTATTTTAAAGGTGTCTTTTGAAATAAAGGAATTAAAACTTATCTTAGAATAACAGATTGAATCATAAAATACACTACAATGTTAATTTCATTCACATAAATTGATAGTAAAGGTTTTTAATTAAATTTTGACTGTAACTCAGTGACTTGCACAGAAAAGTGTTCAAAGGGATATCTGCAGTGGAAGAGTTAAAGACAAAGAAGAAAAAGCCAATTTCTTTTGTATTTAACAACACTTGACTTTGTCTTTTCCAATATATCCCTTTTTTCCCCCAACAAACTCAGTCTCCATTCTGCCTCCAAATAAAGAAAATCCTAAAAAAAACAACAACACTGAAATCAAATAACCATTGTGACAACACCTCTATAACAATATACACAGATAAGTAATTAAACTAACTGTCTTTAACCTTTGTTGTACTACTACTACTACTACTACTACTACTACTATCTAACAATGAATTTAAGAGTTAGAATGCTTGTAAACTTTCATAACTATTTGAAATAATTAATACAGTCTGAAATTTACCTGCAGCTAATGCAGATTTCCTGGCAGCCACTTTATCCCCCATTCTTTCCATTACATTAGGAGATGGTCCAATAAACTTGATTCCTGCATCTATACATGCTTGGGCAAAATCTGCACGCTCTGCTAGAAAACCATAGCCAGGGTGGATGGCATCAACATTATTTTCCTAGAATATTTAAATATTCCAATTATTAAGAGAGCCAGTTCTCTTTCACAACAATGGATTCACCTTTTCCAAATGTATCCCACTATTTCACCAGTATTTGTTTATAAACACAAACACACAAAATACTATTTTGATCATTACAGCAATAAAATTAGTCAAATAAACTCACCTCAATCTGTAAGAATAACCATAAACATTTAGCCTTGGAAGACAGATAGGTCAGGTTTAAATAATAATAATAATAATAATAATAATAAAAAACAAAAAACATTTCCATAATATATAATATTTCTCAGATATTATATATTCAAATACTCACAATTCAAAAAATCGTAATTCTCTTAATAAAAAAAATCAAGTTTATACATCACTAAAAATATACACATCTATGTTTAATACATTTTACATAGATGTGCATTAGATTTGGTTTGAAAAAAAATCTTCTCATAAGTGATTAATTCTTTAATGTGCTCAGGTACATTGTTGTGATTTTTGTTGTTGCATTAAACTGAGAAGAAACCATCAAATCATGATATTTCAAAATCTAAGAATGTCATGTAATTCTCAAACTATGCAATTCTGGTTGACAGTGCACTTACACAAATCAATCAGAAGAGTCCAAGCATTCATCCTACATGACAAACAAATTTCAAAATGCAGAATAAATTTAAACTTCAGATTCTTGGGCACCAGTACTTTAGTTTCAAACAATAAATAATTTGCCTTGATCACTCTGGGTTAAAACTTCGTAGGAAAGTTTTGTATTTTTCTTTTACACAAACACACACAAATCTTTGTCTGATGTGATCAACCTGAAACCCCTCCCATAAAAGTTTTTATTTTTGAACTTTTATGGACATTTTGTTTCAGTAATGACCAATTATATAAATGATCAACTTTATTTACCTGAGCTACTCTGATAATTTCTGGAATGTTTAGATAAGCTTGTACAGGAGGTAAACCTCGTCCAATCAAATATGATTCATCGGCTTTTTGTCGGTGCATATGCATTGTATCTTGTTCCGAATATACAGCCACTGACTGTATGCCCAGCTCTGAGCATGCTCTGAAAATACGGATGGCTATTTCACCTATCAGAAATACAAATTTTTTTTTTTTCTTCATCTGATATCTGAAAACAAAATATGCATGTAATACTGTACTTATAATTACAAACATGATCCAGAAATTGGGCAAATCCAATAACATGCAAAACTGAGAAAATATTTAAATGTTTAAATAAATCTATAAAAAGTTAACACATATTTACTCAACAAATGGAAAATATTAAATATTTAGCTTTCTTCTTCCTTAATAAGACGAAATAGACTAATATACTTTTTTAAATTTTTTTTGTAACAAGTCTTCATATTAAAATTAAACAGTTTAAATGTACATTATAAAAACAGTCATATGGTATCTAGAATCTACCAGAAGGTTAGTCTAGGGTAGAAACACTACCATCCTTTCCAGTTGTGCAAAATCCATCATTAGTAAATTCAGCAGCTAATGTAACTTAAATTATGCTTATTTATATTAAAACACTACAGCTCAAGTACCAATAATCTTATGTCAGTGATAAAATATAGTTCACAAGAAAGTTATTTCTTAAGCGAATAACAGATCTGCCAATGATACTGTGAAACTGCACTTTATAGTAACTGAAGTAAATTGATAATTTAAGTTTATTAATGGTAGATTTTTTTTACAATTTAATTTTATAGGTGTGTCTTAACTGTTATTTTTATTTTAGTTACATGTATGAATACATGCAAAATTTGTAATGTTTAGCCTCAATGCAGTATTAAGCAAATCCTGGAAAAGTTGGAAGTTATTCTTATAGGATTAAAAACAAATGCAACTTGCTTTAAAAATTATGCATTCTAAGTTTAATTCTATGTTTTTATGGCATGGCAGGTAAATGTTCACTTAAAATATTCACTCATTCACAGAAGTACAACACTGACAAAAGAGAAATGTTGGAAGTTACACATTACATTTATTCAGCACTAAAATGACAGCAACAAAAAGTTTCAAAGATATGAATAATGAGAAAACATGTATAATGTAATTTTACAATGAAAAAGCACTATTTCTACTTCAAAACAAGGTTTCCTCACCTTGGAAAAAAAAAAAGACAAAGAAAAGAGAAGCAAAGTATTACTGAGTGAAAGTAGCAAATTTAAAAATAAAGTCATATTAAATCTTAATTGTTTCAGAACCCGATGTGGTTTAGAAAAAAAAAACACACACAAATTACTGGTAATTGTGCAATGTATTCAATACATGGAATAAGAAAAATGTTGTAAAAAGCACTAGTGATAGTTACTTAATAACTCTAAAGCTGCCATGAACTTGGATGTAGCTCTTTATTCAACTTTAATTTTAAGCTATATACATACTATATAAAACTAAGATTTTAACCCATCGACTGCTGATTTGATGTATAGTGTATAGTCTGCTGCTGGCAGTTAAGTGGGAGTGTGCTGTATATGGTGTACAGCTTGCAAAAATTCTGCACAAATTTAGAGAAGCTGCAGTCAATGGGTTGAGTATCACAAACCAATTCATTAAAATAACCTTAGAAATAAAAAAAATACTGTCAATATCCAATTCTGTAAAGAATGTTAGTGTACTAAACTATAATGATAAGCACTTCACTCACATCTCAAACAGGTTAAAAAGGTCTTAAAGAAGATTACTAGTGATTACAGATTATATTTTGCAAACAATCTTCTGTCCAATGTAAAATGATAAGTTAAACAGGACAGTAGACAGCCAAACAATAACAAAACAGTGTGTATCATGGAAAATATTCCTAGGAAGTGTATTAACTTTTCTAATACATACACAAACATGCGAGATAGCTTTAAAATAGAATTTCATAGTCCTTCAGACATGTAGAAGAACAAGTGTAGTACAAAATGATAAATTTAAAGTCAACTTACCTCTATTAGCAACCAAAACTTTTTTAATGGGTTGGTGTGTAGCAGAACTGCTGTATAACAGAAAAGAGTTCAGCTTCAATCTGTGAAACATACATGTCAACGTAGTCTTCTTTTTCCCGATTCGGGACAACCCCAGAAGAAATGTCATTGTCTTTTACTGTAAGCAGCCACTTATGCTTTTAAAAAAGAAAAATAGTAATTTTTAAACTTAAAACATAAACTTCAAATTCTCATGGTAATAAAGAATTGTTAAAAAAAATAATTATAAACTTTAGGTAAAGATTCTTCATTAGTCTACAAACAAAAAATTCAAGACACTTCTAAAAGTGAGTAGCAAATTATTACTTACAGTACCAGTTCATGTGAATCTAACACGTATTTATAATATAGTACAGAATTTCACAGCAAAACAAACCAAGAAATTCAACAAAAATTAATTAAAAATGAATACTGCACATCATCATGTCTACATGCTTGAATGGCATATCTTATAGTGATAAATGTGTATGCATTATACTAAGAAAGATCAAAGATAAAATGTAAGAATGGTCCTTTTTCTTATAATTGTTTTTAACATATCGTGTAGTATTTACACATCCATTTTCAATTAGCTTTGATTTCTTTCCTTTTGTTAACTTTTATGGACTAACCTATTTTTAAAAAAAAGTTTCACTTCAGTTAGTGCTATAAATATTTTATTGTTTTATAATTAAATGACTTGTAAATTACACAAAAGCTGATTTTATCACACACAACAGTAATTAGGTTATAAGGCAAAAGCCATACACATTTAAAGTATTAAACACTTAAGATAAAAACCAATAATGAATATAATATTCAAACAAAATACAGTGTCTTAAATGTGGCTCTGTGTTTTAAAATATTGTTGCAAGCTATATTTTTAATGTTATAATTTAAGTATTAGCTAGAGAGAGTTGTAATTTTCAATAATGATGTTAAAATCAGAAGGTTTAATAAGATAGGCTTAAGTAATCTAGAAAACTATGGATGCAACAATGTTTTCTAGCACATTCGAAGCTAGATTATAAATGAAATATTTGCAAGTGTGTAGTTTTATTTCAAGATGTTGAGTGAACCAGTCAGTGTGTTAGTTATTGCTGTTAAATTTCTTCAAATATGTTAATTTGTTTTACATGTGTAACATGGACCTAATGGCAGTGTACAAGTATTCAAGTTTGTAGAAATGTAAAAGGAGGAAATAAATTATTATCATTATGTGGACTAGACGTTGAATTATTTTCACCTGATAATTTAAACAAACCTGCCAGCAAAAGACCTATGTTACTATACTAGTGTCAGAAAAGAGATATTAGTTTGGTGAAAACTAAAATAAAAGTTTTGGATAAACTTCTACTATTGACAATCATAACATGAAAGAATGAAATTTTAAGTTTATTTGAATAGGAAGAAAATTTATGGATCAAGAAAAAGGCATACCATTTAAGAAAGAATTCAATAAGATTCATTTTTAATTGATTGATGAAACTATAGAAAATGTACAAAGATGATAACAATGAGATTGAAGAAATATGTAAAGTGTATAATGACAATATTAAAGAAGTACAGCAAGGCCACAAGTGACAAAACTGATGAAGAAAGACATTAATGAGGTTGAAAAGAACAGTGACAAAGTAAGACTTCTGGAAAAGAAATTAAATGCAAAGATTAAACCAGCCACACCTCTTACTGCATAGCTCAAGATCTGTAACCTAAAACACCATCTACTACAAAATATGGAATAGGATAACTTATTTGGTCTACACCTATTACTGCTGTGCTCCTTGGTATTGAAAGAACTTCCTAGATTATTTCAGCCATGACATTAGTAAATTCAATTCCAGAACTTAGCTAGTCAGTTCAAAATTAGCCAATATAGAAACCAACAGACTATGATTCAAAAGTACCATGGGAGTCATACCAGCCTCAGTTTGAAATAATTTCTATAGTGAATGGGTGAAATAGTGAAAAACAAACCATCCATTTTAGTACCCATTTAAAAAGACCAACTTCAAAAACAGAGTAATCTTCCAGCTGAGAGCCACAACTATTAAGCATTGGTATCCACCTTACCAAACTGGTTTGGAGTATCGCACCAGGAAGAAGGGTTCATAACAATACTCCAAAATAAGGTACAGAGGAAAGAAAAGACCTTAGGGTAACTTTTAAACATTTGGAAAGGCTCACCAAATTATGTTACTTGGACACTCCTCATGAAGTGATGGATTCATTGGTATATAACTAATTTACAGATGCTGTTACAAGGATGAGGCTGAAGAAAAGTAGATGTACATCCTTAAAAGGAAGCTCAACAGTTGGCAATGAAACTATAAACCATTAAAGCTGGATTTAACAAATACAACTAAAGATACCATCTTGAACTTAAAGGATCATCAGATCAAGTTGTGTTGAAACATCAACTTCCACTGATGACAGTTTAGAAGAACCAAAAGAACAAGTTAGACAACTAATGACTCTGAATGAATGAAATAAAAGAACTGCAGACAAAAGCTCATAAGGAATAAGAAATAAGAAGGATACCAGAAAAGGAGAACTGTTATAAGTGACATGAACCCAGGCATTCCAGCTGAGAAATCAACAGTTGATTAGATACCAAGAAAATAATACTCAAAAGATGAGTCTTTGAGCCCAACAAGATGAAAGAAATAACCAACGGCTAACCAGACATCAGGAAAAAGGAATTAGTTGAACTCTCATGGCAAAATTTGGCTGAGAATACTCCATCTGCTCCAAATGAGAGAAAAAAAAAAAAAGTTTGTTTAAAGATACCAGTCAACAAGTCCATGAGTTTATTGATAGGAAGCCATGCAGTACGTTTAGACTCTGGTTCTATAGTTACAACAGCTCAACTCAATTTATATAAATATATAAATGTGCCAGTAATGCTGCCATTGACTTTCAAGTGTGGGAAACAGTTCTCTGGTATGTGCAGACATGATGCTACTCACTTTGTTCTTGGGGGGTGGGGTGAAGAGACACTATGGATATCTCATAACAGCACATTAGACACTGGCTTTTAGCAAGTCTTGCACAACATCCTATGCACTGTGGGTTCTCATCATTCTAAATTATGTTGCTGTATGCTGTAAGCATATATTTATACCTTGCAACATCCAATCAATGTGGATATGTAACTAAAAACAGTAACTGCACAGAAATGTAGAACAATTACTTGCATATGCCTCACTGAAGGTATATTCTATACTACTAATGGAAGGGTGAAATTATTTAGGTTTCAGGTATGACAATATTAAGGTTTAATTTAAGGGCTTTAATATGATATGCAAGTATAAGCTTTGGAAATCCAAAAATCTATGCTTGCTATGAGGAAAAACTAGTTTATCCAATATTTGTGAACTAATTGATTCCTTTACTTGGTGGTATAGTTTTGACTGTTGGTTTAAATTAATTTTAAAACATTATTTTGGAGGAGTTTAAAGTTAACGTATATCTGGTAGCATTTTGATACTGTATCATTTAACAGTTACTTACATACAGCACATATGAATGCATTTGTTTCCTTTAAATGTGAAGGTTTTAATATTATTACTATAGAAAACAATGCCCAAATGCAAATACTGTAGGAATCTATACCATATACTATACAAATAAAGTATGTACACAGAAGCAATAAATGAAATCCATAGAAATGTATTGGCATTTTTTTACTCTCTATTTTCTTTTGTAATTCATTCTTCTACCTCAACTGTGTATAGCATGTTTTAATAAGTGAATGGCACTTTCAGGAAAAGCTACAAACAGTATAATGCACTTTCAAGCACATTCATAATAATAATACCAGCTTTTTGTTTAGCCTAGCCAATTTCCTTTAGTTTATTAAAATTTATTACTACATACTGTAACAATTTCATTAATAAATTTTCTTAACCAAATTTAAATGCCTGATGAAAAGTTTGATATAATGACTAGAAGAAAGAAGTGAAAAGGCAGGGTGAGGGTTTAATGTATGCATGTTAAGAGCAATTTTTAGTTACACAAGTTTAAAAGCTGTAGCTATTAATTAATTTGGGCTTTAAGAACACCTATAATTTAGTATAACAAAGTTGCACAAATCTTGTGTTTGGTACCATACTATAATGATTTTTTTTTCTTAAATAGCTCATATAAATAGCTAGGGAATAAGATAAATTTTCTAACAGCTTTTTGGGCAGGCAGCAAATTCTCACATCTTTCTGAAAAAGTTAACAAATACCCTTGGTCTGTAGTTATACAATGTTACATTTAACATTGGTTGGCTTCTTTTTTTCAAATACATTCTCTCTGTACCCTTTCCACTATATTAAAAACATTCATCTAACAAGGAGAAAAATATATATACAATGCTCCAAAAATCAGGCTTAACAACACACACTATTAGCCAAATACTGCTTTTCCACAATCTGAATCGCATTGGAAGTTGAAATTCTCTTCTCTCTTCGTACCATCCACCATTATCAAACAAGAGTAAGTCAAGTTTTTATATCATAAGTGCATCTTTGATTACTTTTCTCAGATATATAAACACATTTTCTATATTTCTGATCACTCATCACGTTCATAAGACCTTTCAGAAGGATAAGATTATCATCAGTATCCCCAGTGTCAATTTCTACAATTCTAATTTTATGTTTGTTACCGTGTGTAATGAATACAGCTACTAGTATTACTACTAGTTTGCATTTGAATACAAGCAAATATTTTGTATTCCTTTATTAATATATTTAACTACTATTCTGGTGAGATTTAAAAAATACAATTTACCAAATTAAAAAGCACAAAGTAACATTTTCAAGCGACTTTTTAGGTCTTGTGATAACAGATTAGTGACCATAACCTTTTTCTACACGAACGCAGTACTTTTTTTGTAAATTTAAAAAGTAACAACCATAAAAATTATAATTTGCAATTATATTTAAGACCATGTGCAAGGCCTTTTTTAAATTACTACATTTACCAGTTTAACTTACACCGTTAAAGTACAAAATCACCTTACTGATTATGTGAGATAATGTCTATTTATGAAAATGATTATATACTGATAAGCAGATATAGCAGTATCTAAACTTACCAAAGATGTTATGATGGGCACGCGAACGATGAAACTTGAGTCTTCCCCGCTTAGCGTTTATGGCTACCA